TTAGTAACTTTGTAAAACAAAGAAACACAGATTATTAAAAAGCCTCTTACTTATTTTTTCTTGTGCTGGTTTAGCGCCTAATCTTCAATTATCAGTTCTTTCTGGTCATACCATTCAACATTGTTGATGTTCTAAAAATTCAGGAATAACATAAAAATCATCACTATTTGGTGTTGAATAAATTTTTTGTGCCATTAATAGTAGCTTTCCTTTCTTACTTAGTAGCTACTGAATAATTCCCTTATTTTATTGATGATTCCTTTTTTATTATACTAATAATTTTAAATTTAAAAAATTAAAATGAGATTTATAATCTCATTTTAATTCTTTTTATTCATTTGAAGAATTATTATTTTTGATATTTTTTAATATTTCTTCAATGTTTTTAACTCTAGTGTTGGTATTATCATATTTAAAGCGTAATTCTGGAACTTTATATTTATTACTTGTTTTGGCAAGTGCGCTTCGACAAAAACCTTTCGCTTTTTCTAAAGCATTACTAATGGTTTTAATATCTAAATTATCTAAGTAAACTGTTCAATAAATGGTAGCATAACTGTTATCTTTTGTTATTTTTACATTAGTAATAGTGATATCTTTGAAAAGAATATTTTTTGATTCTTTTTTTAATATATTAGTAATTTCTTTTTTTAAGAAACTTTCTTGTTGTTCAAATTTAATGATAGACATCCTATTTTGTCTCCACTTCTTCTACTAAATATGATTCAATAATATCATTTTCTTTTAAGTCATTAAAATTTTTAATAGTAATACCGCATTGAGTTTCTTTTTTAGCAATTTTTAAATCATTTTTTTCATGTTTTAAACCACTGATTTCACCGTTATAAATAACAACATCATCACGAATAATATGAACTTTGCTATTACGTTGAATGAAACCATTAATGACAACACAACCAGCAATTGTTCCTACTTTTGAAAAATGAAAAGTTTTAATAACTCGTGCTTGACCAAGAATTTTATCTTCATAAGTTGGTTCTAATAAACCTTTAGCAGCCAATTCTAATTCTTCAGTTATTTTATAAATGATATTATGTAATCTAATTTCAACACCGGCATTGTTAGCAGCTTCACGAATAACATGATTGGGACGAACATTGAAACCATAAATAATACTTCCTGAAGTTTGAGCAAGTTTAATATCTGATTCACTAATACCACCAATAGTTGCTCTAATAAACTTAACAGTAATATCATTAACATTAATTTTATTTACTGCTTGAACGATTGCTTGGACTGAACCTTGAGTATCTGCTCGTAAAATAACATTAATTTGTTTTAATTCACCTGTAGCAACATCTTGTGTTAAATTACCTAAACTAATTTGTCGATTATTTCTAATTTTATTTGTTTCTTCTGTTTGTCGTACTAGTGCTACTTTTCTTGCTAATTTATCATCATTAAAAACAATAAAAGATTCACCAGGAGTAGGGGCTGTTTCAAATCCTAAAACTTGAACAGGCATTGAAGGTCCAGCTTTAGTAATTATTTTACCAGTATCATTAATAAGGCGTTTAATTTTTCCTTTAACGCTACCCGCAACTACAATATCAGTAACTTTTAGTGTTCCACCTTGTATTAATAAAGTACAAATTGAACCAACATTTTTATCATGATGAGATTCGATAACAGTTCCATTAGCAAAACGATTTGGATTAGCATTTAGTTCTTTTAATTCAGCAATTACTAATATGGTTTCTAATAATTCATCAATTCCTTGATTTTTTAAAGCACTACCATAAACAAAAATAGTATCGCCACCTCATTCTTCACTAGTTAAATCACAATTAGCTAGTTCATTCATAATGCGATCAGTATTAACATTTGGTTTATCCATTTTATTAACAAAAACAATAATTGAAACACCAGCTACTTTTGCATGGTCAATTGCTTCACGAGTTTGTGGCATCACACCATCATCACCAGCAACTACTAGAACAACAATATCAGTAATTTTAGAACCACGTGAACGCATTTCAGTAAATGCTTCATGACCTGGGGTATCAATAAAAGTAATTAATTTATTATTAGTTTTAATTTGATAAGCACCAATATGTTGAGTAATACCACCGTGTTCTTGATTAGTAACTTTAGAATTACGGATAGTATCTAATAGTGTTGTTTTTCCATGATCAACATGGCCCATAATTGTAACAACAGGTGGTCGAGTTACTAAATTTTTTTTATCATCTTCGAGATTAATATTTTCTAATAAGTTTTCATATGTTACCACTTTAGCTTTTTCAAAATCAATATTTCATTCCAAACAAAGTTCAAGCATTAATTCTTGAGTTAATATTTGATTTTGATTAAATAGTTTGCCTTGTTTCATGAAGTATTTAATAATGTCAGTTACTGGATGATGCAATGCTTTAGCAAATTCTGAAATAGTTAAAGGTTCGTTATATAAAAATACTCCTTTTTCATTAATTTGAGATGTTTTTTGTTTTAGTTGTTGATTAATATTTTGTGTTTGTTGAGATATTCGTTTTTTTGCCATTTGCATCCCGCCTTTCGCTTGGGAAAATTAATCTCAATTTTTTTTAATTTCATTAATTAGTTGTTGATAAAATTCATTTGGAATTTTTGTTTTTAATGCTCTTTCTAATGCCTTATTTTTAATAAGCAAAGGTATTAATTCAAGTTTAGGTTGGATGTAGGCACCTCGACCATTTTGTTTGCCAGTTTTATCAATGAATAATTGTCCTTCTTTATTAATAACAATTCTAATTAATTCACGTTTAGGTAAAATAGTATTTGTAACTATACATTTACGCATTGGTATTTTTTTACGTTGAATTAAAGGTATTTTATTCATAACGACCTACTTTATTGTTTATTGATTTTTATTTTTTCATTGTGTTTTTTTTAATAATTCAGATATAAACTTTTCATATTCACTTTCTTTAATATTACCATTTCAAGTAAATTTAATATTATTTTCATTTGCTTGTTCTAATGAAGTAATATTAATATTTCAGTGAGTTACACCGGCAACTAATTTAGCAGCCATACCATTTTTACCAATAGCTAATGATAATTGTTCAGTAGGAACAATAATATTTGCTTGTTTTTCTTCTTCATTAATATCAATTGAAATAACTTTAGCTGGTGTTAAAGCGTTAATTATATATTCTTTTATATTAGGATTTCAGGCAATAATGTCAATTTTTTCGCCACTTAATTCTTGCGTAATTAATTTTGTTCTTTCGCCTTTTGGACCAATACATGCACCAATACCATCAATGCTTGGATCATGACTAACAATTGCAACCTTAGCTCTAATTCCAGGAATACGAGCAATATCTTTAACTTCGATTACACCTTGTGCTATTTCAGGAACTTCTAATTCTAGTAAACAACGTAAAAAATTAACGTGAGTTCTTGATGCTAAAATTTGACCATAGTTTTTATTTTTAATAATATCTTCAACATAAAATTTGATGTAAGTATTATTAGCAATTGGTTTATTTTTTGGTAAGATCTCACTAGGGATTTGATTTTGTTTTGGTAAGAAAGCGTAGGCTCTACCAATTTTAATTAACATATAAGTTTCTTCAACGCTTTCAATAGTACCAATTAATATGTGATCTTTTTTATCAATAAATTCATCATAAATTGATGTTTTTTCTGCTTCACGAATTGATTGTTTCACTACTTGAATAGCTTTAAAAATTGATAAACGAGAGAATTGATCACTAGGAATTATTTGCGTATATGTATCACCAATTGTTAAGCCGGGATTCTTTGTTTTAATAGTTGAAAGTGCAATTTCTAATTCAGGATCTTCAACTTTTGGAACAACAATTAAATCCTTTAAAATTTTAATAGTACCTTTATTTTGATCAATTTCAATTCTGATATTTGTACTATCATCACGATGACTTTGATATTCATATGCTTTTTTTAGTCCTTCTTTTAAAGCTTCAATGATATCTTCTTTTGCTATTTGTTTTTCTTCAGCAATTTCATTTATGGCATTTAAAATGATTTGACTAATTTCTTTGTCCACTTTTTCTCCTCCTTGTTTTTTATAAACATTGTTGTTTATTATTTAATAGTATTTGAAATAGATTTATTTCAAAATGAAAATATACTTAAATAAAAAAATAAAATATATTACACTAGAAATAATAAAGACAGCTGGTAGCTGTCTTGCTATAATTCTAATTCATTGTTCATTATACAATATTATTAATTTGAAAACAATAGAAATTTATTAAATGATAGAGTTTTATTATCGTAGATTATATTGTATAAATATCTTTCATTATATTAATGGTAATTTTCAAGTTTTAAACTGATTAAATATAATTATTTATATAGTAGTAATTGTTTTTGTTCTATTATCATTGAAAGATATAACATTCATTTTAAAGTTTCTATTTTTTAAAATCAATGGGAACTAAATTGCTTTTCAATACTAATTTGTTCTTATATTGATATCAATATCGTATATATTCTGCTTTTAAAATTAAGTATTAGTAATTTTACTAACTAAATAAAAGTAATTAATTACAAGTTAAGTTAAAAATTAATTATTTATATATGAAATAAATCTGAAATAAAATTTTAAAAAATTAAATATTTAATAAATCTAAGATAATAAGAAGGTTTTCTCTAATATTTTTTCTTTTTCCTCATGTGAAAAAATAGAATTTATTGAGTCTTTTATATATCATAAAATAGGTCTTTCTCAAGGTTTCATTGGATTAGTTCCAAGAGGACTTAAAAAATATGAAATATTGTACAAAAGAACAAATAATATTAAAAATTTTTGTAATAATATTATTTTATTTAAAATTTCTTCATTTTTTTTAGGATTTTGCTTAATTAAAATTTCTCAAATATAATTAGTTGAATATATACTTTCATTTCCATGTAAAAATGTTGAAAAAAACTTTTGATCATCTTTTAAATCTTTTCTTATAATATTTAATATATAAAATACATTATCAATTGATTCAATATCAGTTTTAAACTCTTCATCAAAAAAAACTAATATTTTTTGAACATTTACATTTTTATTTAAATTATTTATTTTATTTTGACCATCTTTATCTATGCCACCATACATATAATTTTTAAAAAGATGATAATGCTTGTTATTAATGTCATTGCCATATTTTCTATCAACATATAAAAAATAAATGAAAATGAAAATATTATCCTTAGAACCTGTTTAAAATCTTTTTAATAAAATTGAAATAAAGGAAAGAACAACCATTTGTAAGCTAGTATTTAATTTTCTTTCACAATTTTTTCATAATCTTCTGCATTTTTCTAATCATGCAAAACTTCGTTCTACAACTCATCTTTTTGGCAATAATACAAAAGAATGTAATTCATTACGTTTGATAACTTCAACATTTGCATTTATGATTGTTTTGATTTTAAAAGCAAATTTTTCACCAGTATAACCAGCATCTACTAGTATTTTTTGAACTTTAGATAAATTTTCTTTTTCATTTTCAATCATTATTATAGCACTGTTACGATCTGTTTTTTCTGCTGTGGTTATGTAAATTGCATGCGGTAAGCCTTGAGAATCAACAGCAATATGACGCTTTATTACTGAAATTTTTTTACCAGCATCATAACCTTTATTTTTAGCAGTATCTGTGTTCTTAACACTTTGTGAATCAATTATACAAAAACTAGTTTGTTCTTTGCGATTATTATTGATACGAACTTTTCTAACTAATTTTTTTTAAAATTACTTGTCAAGTGCTAGGTTCTTTATCACTATTTTTACTTCAAATTTGAAAATAATAATATACAGTTTGTCATTTTGGAAAATTTTTTGGTAACATTCTTCATTGACATCCACTTTTTAATACATATAAAACTGAACTTGTCAAGAAAAGTGGACAATTAAAGTAACCTTTTATTAAATTTTATAAATTTTCTTGTTAAAGAAAAAACATCTGATATTGCAAAATATATTTTTTAACTTTGGGTTCAAGAACTTTTTCAATTAATTTTATAAAATTAATTAATGATTTAAATTCATTATATTTTTCATTCATTTTATTATTTTTTCCTTATCTTTTATATTAAAAACTATCAATTAACAGAGGTTAACTAACTGAAGATTGATTTGTATAGATGAATACTTTAAGTTCATTATGAATAGCGTTAAAATATTAGGTTTTTTTATCTTAATTTTTAAATGTAAAAAGACCTGAAAATTTTTCAGGTCTTTTTACATTATATTACTCAATAATCTTGGAAGTACTGTAGAGTATATATAAAAAATAATAAGAATGTTCAGTTAATGAACAATTTAATCCTAACATTTTTGAAATTATTTTCTTAAAAAAAGCAAAATAACACTTAATAATGAAAAATATTATAAAAAGAGCACCAAATAAAAAAGAATGTATAATTAAGAGCAGAAAATAGTTTATATTTTTCAGAAAAATTATCTAAGGGGGAAAAACAATATGAGAAACATGAAAACATTACTACGACTAATGGGTGCTGCTGCTTTAACAACAGTTGCAGCAAGTTCGGTTGTTGCATGTGGAACTCAAACAAAAGCGCCAGCATTGAATGGCAAATATGCAACATTACTAGGATGATATAGTAATGAAAATACAAGTTTAATTAATCAAGAATTAAAAAAGGATGATACTGCTGGTAAAGAAAGTTATTCAATTTCTGTTCCTGCTGCTGATAATACAAAAATTACAGCAACTAAATTTAACGAAAAATTATTAAAAGCAGGTACTGGTGCTGATTCTGATAAATTTCAAGCAGTAAGTGATGATGCTGCAGCCTTTTTAAAGGATTTAGGATTTACACCTGATAGCAAGAAGTTTTATTCAGCTGATGATGTTAAAAAGATTACTGCTTTATCTGCAAAAGTTGAAAGTACTGAAGCAGGTAAAATTGAAGCTGCTGGTACAACTGATTTTAAAGTTGAAGCTGGTACTTGTCAAATTAATATTATGGATAAGGCAACTGGAGATGATGCCAAATCTGTAAAAAAATATACTATTAATACTCTTAAGAAAGATGCATTAGGTGTTCCTGCTGCAGTATATACGCTTGTAGAATTAGCAAAATTGGATTTAACTAAAGCTAACGGATTTGAACAAGGCAAAGATGTACTTAAGTCTTTACCTTGAAAAGCTGCTAATTCTAAAGAAAAAAATCTATATAATTCTTTAGTTAATTTATTTAGCAAAGATAAAGTATCATTAGTTTGAACTTCTGATGATCAAGGTCAAACAGTGGTACCTAAGTATACAGATCAAAAAGTATACTTAACCGTAAAATTTGGAGAAGTAAAAGTTACAAATACTCTAGATTTTGGAACTCCACAAGCTTAAATATATTTTAAAAGATTGCAATTGCAATCTTTGAACTTGTGATGATATTAAAAAAATTACTACCTTATCTGCAAAAGTTACAAGTACTGAAGCAGGTAAAACTGAAGAAAATAATACAGGAACTGATTTTAAAGTTCTTGCTGGTACTTGTCAAATTGATATTATAAGCAAAGATGATGATAGTGTAGTAAAATCTTATACTATTAATACTGCTAAAAATGATGGATTAAACATTTCAAATATAGTTATTACTGAACTTATTAGTGATAAAAATGGTTTAAAATTAACTGCTGCTCAAGGATTTAAACAAGGTGAGTCTGTTGATGATTTTAAATTAGTAATAAAATCAGAAAGTAAACAAAAACAATTTGATTCTCTAGTTCAACTATTAAATACAAATGTTAGTACCCAGTTTCATGCTAGCGTTGCTGATGGTCCATTAGTAACAGGAAATTTTAGAAATTTAAAAGTTTATTTAGCAATATATTTTGGTGATGTTCATCTTTTACCTAGAATAGACTGTGGTATACCATCAACTGTTTAAATCATTAAATATTTTAAAAAATATAATGACAGTTGTTGTTAATTATCATATTTTTTTGTTACTATTAATATAAATGAAAATTATTAATAATTAGACATTTGAAATTAATAGTAATTAAAGTGATAACATTTATAAGTTAAAAAACTAAACTTTAAGTGAGGACACAATTGTATATTTCAATTTTATTAAGTGATATTATTAATTATAAAAATTAAAGAAGGAGAAAAAAATGTTAAAAGCAGGAAGTATATTAATATTTATTGTTTTTATTTTAGAATCAATATTTATAATTCCTTTATTATGAACAATACCCGGTTTTATTTTATACAAAAAAGTAAGTAAAGGTGAAGCGACTACTGATCAAAAAATTGCTTTAGCAATATTAGGAATTATCTTTGGTGCTGCATTAGGTATTATTGGTGGTATTTTTATATTAGTTGATTTAAACAATGATGAAAATAAAATCCAAAGATATTAATAAAAAACATCATTAATTAATGATGTTTTTTATTTTTTTAAATAGTTTTCCATTGGTTTTAATAAAAATTATTATATAATTTTTATAGTTTTATTTAAAAACAACTTAAAATTATTAACTAGGAGGAAAACAAATATGGAAGTTATTATTTTAGAAGCCACAAATCTGATGAATGAAATAATTTTACGTTATAAAAATGAAATTAACAAAATTCGCACCGGAAGAGCTAATCCTAATATCTTAGAAGGAATTAATGTTAGATGTTATGGTGGTGTTGATAGTTTAAGTAATATTGCCCAAGTTAAAGTAGCAGAAGCACATCAATTATTAATTAAACCATATGATCGTAGTTTAATTAAAGACATTACAGAAGCTGTTACAAAAGCTGATTTGAAATTACAAATTAAAAGCGAAGCAGAGAATATACGTTTAATTTTCCCACAATTAACAGAAGACGTTCGTAAAACTTTAGTTAAAGATTTGAGTAAAAAAACTGAAGAATATAAAGTTAAAATCCGTAATTGTCGACGTGATGCTGTTCAAAATCTGAAAAAAATAAAATTACCAGAAGATCAAGAAAAGCATGCAGAAACTACAATTCAAGATTTAACTGATAGTAAAATTAAAGAACTTGTATTAATAGAAAACAATAAAAAAGCCGATTTAATGAAAATTTAGCAATAAAGCAATAAATAGTTAGGGGTTAAATATTGTGAAAAAAAAGATAATAAATAAAGAAAATATAAAATCTAAAGTTTCTTTTTTTGCAAAACTTAGTAATTTTTTTAGAACCTATCGAAATCGTATTCTTACAAGCTTTATGTTAATTGCTTGTGGTGTATTATGAATGTTTATTGGGGCAGTTTATTTAGAACCAATTTTTGGTAATAAACCACAGTGATCAGCCTATACATTTATGATAATTAATACTTTAATTTTTATTGGTTGTTTATGAGAAATTATTAATTTAAAAAAAGAATCAAATTGATCAATTGTACTTAAAATTTCTATAATTTTAACAGGAGTCATACTTTTATGAGTTCCGCTTGGTAAAGAAACTTTTGGTCCATATATTTATAATCATTATTGATTTGAAACTTGAATGACTTTATTAATTTTATTATTTTTCATTTGTATTTTTATTTTAATTGCTTGACGAAGTAAAAATTTTCAATTAAGTGATGTTATTTTTATTTTTACTTGAATTATTTATTTAGTGTTTGTTGTTAAAGCTGTTAATTTTTTAATGTTATCAGAAATTAAACTTTCAAAACTAGGATGACCAACATTATTGTTTTTATTCATTATTGTTATGTCTAATGATGTTGGTGCTTTTATTGGTGGTATAATTTATGGTAAAACAAAAATGGCACCAAGTGTATCACCAAATAAAACTTGAGAAGGTGCTATTACTGGTTTAATAACAGCAATTATTTTAAGTATGATAACAGTAACTGTTTTTTTAGAAACAAGTAATTATAATCCCTTACCTTTTTTAGAAGTTAATAGTAAAGCACCAATCTATATTGCTTATTTTGCTACTAGTTTTATTCTTTCAATTGCTAGTCAAATGGGTGATTTATTATTTTCTTATTTGAAACGTAATTATCATGTTAAGGATTTTTCAAATATTCTACCTGGACATGGAGGATTATTAGATCGTTTAGATTCATTTTCAACAGTAGTTATTTTTGGTTTTCTAATTACTCTAGCAGCTA